TTGTAGAGGTGTTGTAGTTGCCTATATATTTTAGAAATAAGTCCCTTGTCTGATGTGTCACTGCAAAAAAAAAATTCCCATTCTGTGGGTTCTCTTTTCATTCTACTGGTGAAGTCTTTTGATGCACAGAAGTTTATAATTTTTAGTATGTCTCACTCATCTACTTTGTCTGCTTTTGTTTGTGTAGTTTTCAAACTGTTTTGTAGTCTATGTATTCCCTGAATTAGTGTCCTCACATTTGTTCCTATTTTTTCATTGATGACCTTCATAATTCTGGGATTCACATTTAGGTCTTTAATCCATGTTGAGTTGGTTTTTGTATAAGGTGTGAGAGGAAGGTCATGTTTCAATCTTTTGCATATCACTTTCCAGTTCTGCCAGCACCATCTTTTGAAGAGACTTGCATAAGACCTTTTAAAAGTGCTCAAGACAAAGATGTCAATTTGAGGACTAAGGTGTGTCTGACCCTAGCTATGGTGTTTTCAATCGCCTCAAATGGATGTGAAATTTGGACAATGAATGAAATGATCCAGATATCAGAAGAATCAATGGATTTGAATTGTGGTATTAGAGAAATATAATGAAAAGACCATGGTCTTCCATAAAAACAAACAAATGTGTGTTGGAAGAAGTACAGCCAGAATGCACCTCAGATACCAGGATGTTGAGACTTTGTCACATTTTGATCATGTTATCAGGATGGCGCAGTCCTTGGAGAAGGACATCATGCTTGATAAAATGGTGATGTAGGATAAACACTGGACATCATGGTTGGTTTGAACAAAAAGGTTGGTGATTCGACTCACCAGTTGCTCCTTGGGAACACTATACAGGGAAATTCCTCAACACAATTAGGGGTATATATACCAATCCAACCACAATTCAGTTTGTCATATTGTGGTGGATTGTGAGTGCTGTGATTCTGGAAGCTATGCCACCAGTATTTTAAATATCAACAAGGTCATGTGTCAGATGAGCTTCCAGACAAGACAGACTAGGAAGAAGGAGTGATGAACTACTTCCATATATTTATTCACCGAAAACCTTAAGAATAGCAGAGAAACATTGCCAGATATAGTGCCGGAAAATGAGCCCCTCATGTTGGAAGGCACTTAAAATGTTACTTGGGAAGAGTTGCCTCCTCAAAGTAGAGTTGACTGTGATGTCATGAATGGAGTAAGTAAAGCCCATGGGAGAAAAGCCTGTGGGACCTTCATTTGGTGATGGGACACAACTCAAATGAAGAGAAACAACGGTAAACATCCATTAATAATTGAAACATGGAATGTATAAAGTGTGACTCTAGGAAAATTGGAATTTCTCAAAAATGGTATGGAATGCATAAGCATTGATATCTAGGCATTAGTGAGCTGAAATGGATTGGTATTGGCCATTTTGAATATGACAACCACATGGTTTACTCTGCCAGGAATGACAAATTGAAGAGGAATGGTGTTGCATTCATTGTCAGAAGGAACATATCCAGATCAGTCATGAGGTACAATGCTGTCTGAGATAGAATAATATCCTTGTGCCTACAGGAAAGACTAGTTAATACGACTATTATTCAAATTTTTGCACCAACCACTAAAGCCAGTCAGGATGAAATATAAGAATACTATCAACTTCTTCAATCTGAAATTGATAAAACATGTAATCAAGTTGTATTGATCATTAGAAGTGATTGGAATGCAAATGTTGGGAGCAAAGAGGAAGGATCAGTAGTTGGAAAATATGGCTTTAGTGATAAATATGTTGCTGAAGATCGCATGATAGAATTCTGCAAAATCAATGATTTGTTCACTTCAAATGCCTTTTTTAAACAGCATAAGAGATGACTATACACATGGACCTCACAAGATGGAATTCATAAAAATCAAAGTGACTACTTCTTTGGAAAGAGATGATGGAAAAGCTCTATATCATCAGTCAAAACAAGGCCAGGGGCAGATTGTGGAACATATCATCAATTGCTCATATGCAAATTCAAAGTAAAGCTGAAGAAAATGAAAACAAGTCCATAAGAACCAAAATATGACTTTGAATATATCCCATTTGCTTTAGAGTTCATTTGAAGAACAGATTTGATTTCCAAGGATGAAAATCTTTACAAAAGCAGTCAGCCTCATCTTTATTACATAGAGTATGTGGTGAGTTTGAACCCCTGACTTTGTGGTTAGCAACCCAGAGTCTAAACCACAGTACCACTAGGGTTCACTTATCTATTCCCAGGAGCTTGGAAAGTAATGCACCCTGGAAAAGTGTATAGGACAGGAAAACATACTCAGTAGACTGTAAGTGAGAGATACATGGCAGAATTGTGAAAAGATTAACAAAGGGTCTTCACAATGTTTCACATGAAAGTTTTCTATGTGGGATGTCCATGCCAAAACTCATAAATGACTTCCTACCTTTTGAAATTTATAATCTACCTCATTCTTAAGTAATTGTTACAAGAAAAAAATGTTATAGAAGAATTGTTGCATGCATATTGCATTCTTAAATACTAGATTGTCTGGGAGAGTTCTGTTTTTGGACAAGATGATGAAATCTAACATAAGTTTGCAAAATATTACCATGGCAAATCTTCAAGAATATTATATTGAGATTTCTTTTTTTGATGAAAGCTAGTGGAAACAGATTTAATGTCCAATAAAAGGATTAATGGAGAATATGGGACTATTTATTAATCTTAGTTTTGAATGGCAAATACTAATTTGTTAAGTGGTCCTTATTTTATGAGTGAAATTTCTCTGTTTTTCTAACCTTCCTTCTGAATATTCCCTTTCTTATTATGCTTCACAAGCCAGCTTCAAACTACTTGAAAGGAAAACCTACCTTCTAGGAACATGTTTATCTCAACACATGAGAATTTATAATCCATACCATATTAGTTCAATGAAGTAGTATAGACTCTAAAAATAATAATTTAAAAAAAGTTCCCCTACAGGAAAACAAGTTTGAAAATAACTTAAATAAAACAGACACAGTAAAAATAAAATAGTTGTGCTAGAGTCACTGAATTCTGGATACTGTTTTTGCTTTGTAATTTTCCTTGATGTTATCATTATAATGTACAGCAACAAATAACAATCAGTAACTAATTATGTTACTCTTCAGCAACAAATTTAATGCAAATGATTCATCCTGAAGTAAGCCTTTTTTGAGGAGAATATACTGTAATCAAAAACTTAATTAACAGTTCCATCAAGTTTGTGGTGATACCTCATTTAGAAAAAAATTTGGTAATCAGTACATAAAAATATTAGTCACCATACATTTCTGAATGTTTTACCTGGTATTATTATGTATGTAGAGAAAAAGAGGAAGACCCCTAACGAGATGGATCAGCCAGGTGGCATCATTGATGGACTCAAGTGTGGCAGCGGTAGTGAGGTTGGCCCAGGATCGGACATTGTTTTGTTCTGCTGTGCATGGGGTCACTATGAGTCAGTTCCAACTCGATGGCACCTGACAACAACAATTATGTATGGAATTAAACCTGACTTCTACGAGCTTAAAATGATGTAAAATGGAAAGGAAACAACGTTGTGAGTGGATGTTATTGGGTATTATTTTCCCATAGAAACGTTGGATAAATTGCATTTTAAATTTGCTTATGAGAAACGACCAATGTAAATCAGCCAAGTAATAGAGTCAAATGTTAAGAATAACTATCAGAAAATAGTCAAATGTAAGAACAACTATCAGAAAAAAAATTCATCTTAAATTTACAACCAACCGACAAAACAGGCAAAATAACAGTTATCATTTTATTGATCCTTATAATATAAATTTAAATTATCAAATACAACTGAGGGATTTTGATCACAGATGAGTCATCTGGAAAGAATCCAAAAAAACCCAATAACACACAAATGTGTATATTCTTTACTTAATTTACAGTTGAAATGCCAAAGAGGAACAAAAAAGTTCAATTTTCCTATTATGATCTGACCCTATTATGATTATAAATGATACTATCGCTATATAATCCAGTAATTATTAAAACCAATATCACTAAACTGGAAGATATGGATAGCTATGTAATACACATTATTTTTTGTTAAACTATACTGACCTAATCATAGAGAAATTGCATAGTATGTTTTAGTTTAGTGCCCTCCTATAGTGCTGTAGGATTAACACTGGAATAGTAACTACAAGCCAACATTTCAAATCTATTGGACTCTCTTGGAAACCTTATACTTATACAGGGACACTATGAGTAGGAACAAACTTGAAGGCACATAACAGCAATTTCATCAATCTTAGTTTATGCTGCAACTCCCCAGAATTTTCCTCAGGGCTGCCTTCATTTCCTTATTCCGGAGACTGTAAATGATGGGGTTGAAGAGTGGAGTAACAATAGTATAGAACAAGGTAGTGACTTTTTGCATCGCAGCAGTGTGTCCAAGTCCTGGGTTCACATACATGACTGTCAGGGGGCCAAAGAACAGTGATACTACAGTTAAATGAGAACCACAGGTTGAGAAGGCTTTACGTCTTCCAGTGGCTGATGGGACACGCAACACAGCTAATAGAACAAGAGTATAGGATCCAAGAATGAAAACAAAGCTACCTAAGATAATTAATGAGCTTTGAATGTAGCAAACCTTTTGTATTATTGATTCAGAGTCACATGCCAATGCAAACAGTGGGCCTGGATCACATACAACATGGTCAATAATGTTTGAGCCACAGAAGGACATGTGAGACATGAAAACAATAGGGACCAGGAAACACAGAAACCCACTAATCCAACATGCAATAACTAGTTTGGCACAGAGATGTCCAGTCATGATATTAGGGTAGTGCAAGGGATGACAGATAGCAAGATACCTATCAAAAGCCATGGTACACAATTGGAAGCCTTCATTTGATCCCAAAGAGAAGAAGAAATAGAATTGGAGAAGGCAACCAGCAAAGGAGATTGTCTTTGTCTCTGAGAGTAAGTTGACCAACATTTTGGGGACTGTAGAAGAGACATACCAGATCTCCAGAAAGGAGAAATTCCCCAGGAACATGTACATAGGGGTGTGGAGTCGCTGGTCACACCATAATGCACAAACAATGGCCCCATTTCCTGTGATGGTCAGGACATATGTTGTAGTGAAGAGTGAGAAAAGTAGAACCTGAATCTTCCACTCAAAAGAGAAACCTAGGAGGATAAACTCAGTGAAAGAAGCAAAACTGGAATTTGGGTTGGAGACATCCATTGGGTCAGTAATCTGCAAAGTTAAGAGACACATTATTGTCAGTGATTATCAGTTTAAAATACAGTTATTCTTAAAACTAAAGGAGGCAAGGAACATGTCATTTGCCAACATAATAAACCAATTAAAAAGAGAAGATAGTCTACCTTTTTTTAACCACATACTCTGAATTTAGGGTACAGCAAATAGCTGTTTCCCCAGAAAAAACTTTCCCTATTTCTTTATGTCATTGAATATTGTAATGCTGCCAAGATAGAACCAGATAAAGTTAAACTCATTGTGTAAGCTTGCTATTTTTGGGCAGTGATGATCTATTAAATATCTGGCAAGAATTAACATAAAGCTTGCACTTAATATATGTATTAGTTTCTTACTTAAAACCATCCAAGAATGCACTAGACTTGGGAAAGGAGGTCTTTAGTATAATATGATTATTTACATGTCAGTTAAAGATAATATTTAATCTAACATATAAAGATGCAAAGGAAATGGATATACTTAACAGTAAGTTCTCATTAATTCTTTTAAAGTAAAAAAAAAAAAAAATTGCTGTGCTGTTAGCATCATACAAATGCAATTCCGAATTAATTACTTACCAATATTGACTTTTAATGTTGAAGTGTTGTAATAGCCTCTGTAGATAACAATGGTTTTAAGTTTATGCTTAATTTTTTAGTTTTGAAGAAATTTGTACAGTGAAAGTTATGCTTGAGTCTTTATTTTGTTGATTATTTTTACCTCTATTTAGGAATTATTTTTCTATATGCTTCTGCAAAATTAAATTTTTTCCACTTCTGCAGCTGAGTGATAAAAGTCAAATAACTTTCTTTTGTCATAAGTAGATGTCATTCATTCCATATTTTTATAGAAAAGATATCAGGGATGAGAATTCCATGAAGTATTTTTATGATTAGTAAGATTCAATGATGTGACTCAATGACAGTTGCAAGCACATACATTCTTGTAAAAAAATCACAAAATTTTCTAAAGTAATTCTTCCTGCAAGTAACTCTCCATTCTTGTTCTCTTGGGAGATATTTAAAAGTTTGTTTTAGAAGTAAGTGGAAGAAAATTTTTCTTCTTTCAGTAATATGCATCTCTCTTGAAATTGTCCTAAACCAGGAGCATTATAAAATTAGCATTAAGGAATTATGGAATGAAAGTGGATATTGGGAACATCAGCAATGCTCAGAAAATGAAATAATCATTATTTTGGTTTTGATCAAATCTCTAAAGGAGCTGTTAGATAAACCACAAGTAGTTGTTCTGTCACCAGCTCAATGGAGAGTTTTATTGCTGCACCAAAATTAAGACTGAACTAGTCCCATCAAATGGTCCCTTGGGACTTGGCCTCTAAAGCATTAGAAAAGTTTTGCACCAAGCCAACACATCATTAAAAAGTTAATGATTATCTATGCTCCCTGAGGAATAAGTAAAGAGAGGTGACAATTTTCTGAGTCACCACTTTTTGAGCATATCTTGTCCATCTGAAATATGGATTCCAAGAAATATCCAGAAGACATAGTTGAGAATCTCTAAGATGTAGTGTTACCAAAATTTCAGATGTGAAATAGAGAAATATTTCAAATGTCACTGTTGATGGGCGTGTGAGAAATAATTCTTGTTAGTGTGGTCTATCATCAGGACTAAAGAAAGTCTTGGGGGTAGCAGGGTAGCATAACTAAAGGAGCTTAGTGGAGGGGAACAACTAGTTTGACCAGCTAGGAACTTTAAAATAAGAATATACCCATCAATGAAATAGGGGAAGTTCATGGGGAAAGGGGAAAACTCATTTTAAGTGAGAATGTTCTCAGTAAGTACTGGTAGACAAACTTAGGAGGAGATTGTGAACTCCATAAAACTCAGTAGAAGGGAAACTGGAGGAGGGTTTTTTTTAGGGCAGGGGAATAAAACTGTTCGCGGGCCAGCCATGTGGCGTGTCTGTTGGTGTCTACTGTGTTGGACACCCAATTTTGCAAATTTGAATAAAGAAAACCTGTCTTTTACTAAAATGAGTACAGATTGTATTACTTGAGCATGTGTTGTTATTGATAATGCTTCTAATAGGTTGGAGGATATAGAGGTGATATATAGAGATCTAGGTGAGAGAAATGCTGAAGTATAAAGCATTTCAAAGCATTGATAATAAAATTAGGAGAACTGAAAAATGACCTCATAAGAAGGATGTTGTTGTTAGGTATCATTGAGTCGATTTCCACTCATAGTGACCCTATGTGTCAGAGCAGTACTGTTCTACATATTTTTCTAGGCTATAATACTTTGGCCCTCACCAGCTGTTCCCTGGCATCCCTATGCAGGATCTCTATCTGTTGGAACTGACTGGATGACAATTAACAGCAATCTGTGGACACAGATCACCATGTCTTTCTTCTGCAAAGCCCATGGATGGGTTTGAACAATGAATCTTTTATTTACCACAAGTACTTAATTGTTGCACTAGCAGGGCTCCTTATCATGGCAGAAATCTTTTTATATGAAGGAAGAGGCAAGAATTGTTACTATTTAAGTCAATTGATTGAAATACTTCAGCAGAACATGCAGCTTTCCAACTAATATTATTTTCATTGACTAATGTCACTTCCATTTTTTGTTTAAGGCATATAGATTCTACATGGTGTCATTAATTCACTCAGAAATGAATGCTCACATGATGTGTTGTTGTGGTTAGGTGCTATTGTGTTGGTTCCAACTCACAGTGACCCTATAAATAGAATGAAACACTCCCCATTCCTTCACCATTGTCATAATTTTTGTTATTCATGAGCCCATTCCTGCTATCACTGTGCCAATTCATTTTGTTTGGACTCTTCTTCTTTTTTCCTGATGCTTCACTTTACCAAGCATGATATCCTTCTCTGGGGACTGGTCCCTCCTGATAACATTTCCTAAATATAAAAGATGAAGTCTCACCATCCTTTCCTCTAAGGAACAATTCGTCTATTCTTCTTCCAACACAGATTTGATTGTTCTGATCATCCATGTTATTTTCAATGTTCTTTTCCAGTACCATTATTCAAATGTTTAGGGATTCTTCTCTGATCTCCTTATTCATTATCCAACTTTCACACAGCTTGGGACAGGTGCATTTGAGTCTTCAAACTCATTTTTGCTCTTGTAAACTTTAAAATGTTCTTGTGTAGCAGATTTGCCTAATGCAATATGTTGTTTGGCTTTTTAACTTCTGTTTCCATGTGTTGATTTTGCATCTATGCAAAATGAAGTTTTGACAACTTTGATCTTTTTTTCATTTATCATAATGTTATTTATTGGTTCAATTTTGAGTAGTTTGTATTTTTCACATTGAGTTGCATTTGATCTTCCTCAGTATTTTAAGTCCTTTTCACATTTTGTAAGGAAGATTATATCATTTGCATATGGCAGATTGGTAATGAATTTTCTTCCAGTCCAGTTCTTTTTCATATAGTTCAGCTTCTTAGATTATTTATTCAACATACAAATTGAATAAGTATGACAAAAGATATAACCCTGGTGCATACTTTCCCTGATTTTAATCCATTCGTTTACCCCTGATTCTATTCTAATGATCAACTCTTGGTATATATACAGGTTCCTCACAACCATAATTAAGTTTTCTGAAATACCCTCTGTTCACAGTGTTATCCATAGCTTGTCATGATCCACACTGTTCAAAGTTTTTGCACAGTCTTGTAGTATATACTGAACAGGAAAGGTAAAACATTAACTGCATCTTCCCTACCCAGGAGACAAGCTAGCATGCTAATCAGGTTATGGAATGGGACCAGTCTTCCCCACCCAAAAGACAAGCTAGAATCCTACACAGGTTATGGAATGGGATCAATCTTCCCCACCTAAAAGATAAGCTAGAATGCTAATCAGGTTACTGAATTGAACCAATTTTCCCCATCCAAGAGACAAGCTAGTATGCTAATCAAGTCACCGAGTGGGACCAATCCCCCTAGTCTCCCTCCTGTCCTCAAAGAGGTCTGTGTCTGGATCCCTCCCCAAGTCTGACCTGATGTAAGCCTGTGTTACCCTTCACTGGAGGCTCAGAATTTGGAGAAATCAGCTCCTCTGAGCCAGCTGGCTTAATAGTCTGAAACTCCATTTCACTTCTCCAAATGGCATCGGTTTCTTGGATGAAGGATCAGGAGCTGTTGCAACACCCTTGGACCCAGAGCTACCACAACACCCCCGGATCCAGAGCTGCAGTGGCACTCTCAGGATCAGAGTTACTGTGATGCTCTCTGGCCTAGGAGCTACGTTCTCTGGCCTAGGTGCTGCTACACTCTCTGGCCTAGGAGCTATGCTCTCTGGCCTAGGAGACACCCTCTGGCCTAAAGGCTAAGCTCTATGGCTTAGGAGCTGCTGTGAAACTCTCTGGTTTAGGAGCTGCTGTGACACTCTCGAATCTGAAAAACTGCTGTAACATATACCATTTAGGACAACTGATGAGATCAAGTGTTTGTGGACTAGGAACACTGGTCTGTGGATCACAGATTGAGTGACATCTAAAAGCAAATTCCTCACACTGAAAGACTAAGGAAAACATACACTACTCAGATCTCTGTTATCTCTTCTTTTGATTACATCAGTCATTAGAAACTGTAACTTTAATTTTTTAAACCCACTGAGAATAAGTCATTTTTATTATTCACATCTGAGGAACAACATCTGTGGAAAAAGATGCTGGAAAAGTTTCATATCACCAGTCAAAACAAATCCAGGCGCCGACTGTGGAACAGACCATCAATATCTCATATGCAAGTTCATTCTGAAGCTGAAGACAATTAGAACAAGTCCATGGCCAAAATATGACCATGAACATGTCCCATCTGAATTTAGAAATCATCTCAAGAATAAAGTTGATGCATAAGATACTAATGACCAAAGACCAGAGAGTTGTGAGATGGTATCAAGAACACTATACAGCACGAAAGCAAAAGTTATTAAAAAGACAGATAAAACAGACTGAAATAGATATCAGAATAGACTCTTAAACTTGCTATACAGCATAGAAACGCTAAAGCTAATGG